GGAAGGGGCAACACCACCATTGATGCATTCACCCAGTGGACTCTTGGAAATCTCAGATAGGGGGGGAATCAAAGAGAACACATCAGAGCAGACGGTTATAAATAAAGCTATGTTACGATCCCGGTGGTCGAGGACACCAGGGTTCCACATGGGTCCCACCTGGACAGGCCCGCCCCAGGGTCGGGCCAAGGCCCAGGCAACGTGCCGAGCAGTCCCAGCGCATAATCAAAATAAGAGATGAAACAAATGAAAATTCAGAAATACCCCAAACACATACGTTGTAGAAAACAACAGCACAAACAACACTGGCTGTGGGTCATCTACAAATGCCTCTTTATCTTTCAAGATTCAAGATAAAATCAAAAAAAGAAGTCAATGTACACCCCTTGAAAGTTGAAACCCGATTCAAGATAAAATCAAAAAAAGAAGTCAATGTACACCCCTTGAAAGTTGAAACCCTACTAAATCCAATTGGATTCCTTTCCTCCCCCCCCCAACCCACTTTCAAGATTCAAGATAAAATCAAAAAAAAGAAGTCAATGTACACCCCTTGAAAGTTGAAACCCTACCAAACCCAATTGGATTCCTTTCCTCTCCCCCCCCCAAAGTTTTCAGAAAAAAAAGGTGGATTCTGCATGTTTTCATGAAACATGCTCACACAGCCCAATCGGCAGGGGGGGGGAGCTACATTCCTGGGCACTTTCCGGTCCACCTGGACTCGCCCGCGGAGACCCCTCCCCGCAAGGCAAACCCAGTAAGCAAGAAATAAAGGACATATTGCAAAACTTGAAGGACTTTCAAGTGGGAACTGCATGTTTTCAGGCTTCCATGTGTACGTGGCAAGGCACACCGGCTTTGCTGGATGCAGAAACAGATGGGATCCACATTTAAACTGTCGCTGCTGCATGAACCTTCCAGGTCACACAGGTGCACAAGAGGACTGCAGGTTAGCTCAGCCTCACAGGGTGGATACCTATTCTTGCTGGAAATTTTCTTATAGTTCTCGACATGGATTGTATTCCAATGTTATACCAACAGCATTGAGTACAACTGTATCTCAATGCATATAAAATTATAAATGGTTGTTTCAACACTTCTGTTAGTCTTCCGCCACGGTTTAATACATATTGAGTGGCAGCATCAAGATCTGAGCCAAATTGAGCAAAAGCAGCTACTTCAAAATATTGTGCTAGTTTAAGACTACAGCACACTTGCTTCATAGCTTTCAATTGAGCTGCGGAACCTACACGACTGAGACGTTGTATAGGTCCACAACGAGACGGATATGACTTATTGAACTCGTAGTGAAGAACTCGCTGGGACGACTTAATCTCGTCGCGAAAGCGGATCATTATTAAGCTCCTGGTAGCCCCTGGTAGCCCTACCCCGGAAAAGGTTCAGACATCGAGGAGACATCTGTTAATATCGGAACAATACAGAGAATATTAGCATGGCCCCTGCCCTGCGTGCAAGGATGACACGCATAAATCGAGAATATCAAGATTAAAAAAAAAAAAAAAAAATCAGGTTTGACAATCTCGCTTCAAAGGCAGCGGTGCTTCAATTCAATCCAGATAATGGACATAATAAATATATATATGGCACTGGCTTCTAGGGAACAGTGTCATACTGGCATGGAGGTTTTGGAAGCAAAAGGTGTTGGACGCCTGTCTGAGGGCAAGGGCAAAACTAGGAAATTACAGAAAGAGATTGATTTCCAGACGCATTCATATGCAAAGAACCAAGGAAGACATGGTGTATATACATTCATCATGATGGGGGCACGGGAAGAATGTAGAATGAAAGGCGAGAGATCAAGCAAACGCGACAGCTTTCACAACAACAAAATGTGTCCTTCCTGTGTACATATTTCAGGGCACGGACGTACACCGAAGCCTGAAAAAAAAAGGAACAAGTTCAGCAAGAGACAGCTTTCTGCACCACAAGGCATTTCGTTTCTCTGTAAATATTTTAGAGAACGGACATGCACCAAACCCAAAAAGAAAGAAACAAGTCAGATGTAGTACCCATTTGATTCCACTACGCTATACGGAGAAAAAGGAAAGAAAGCGGACCCGCGACAGATGATTCATAAGTCAACAATTGTCTTCAGCAGATAAGCAAACACACGACGAAAAATTGTATTCGTTCGCTACTTCACGAGCCTTAGTGCACATGATCTTTGACACAAAGGGAGGGTGTTTGCAGACGTAGTGGCCTGAGAAAGGTGATTACGAGTCGGAAACAGAGAGATGCGTCCATTCTGACCGCGTACTTAAATTAAAGTCAGCCCCTAATTTCAAAGTCAAACACCACCTACCTGCCTAAGCGATTAACCGGCCAATTCAAGGATGGAAAGATAGACAACCCATGGAAAAGTCTCTCACCGAAACACTCCTGCAGTGGACCCCTGACTCTTGGAAGCGATGGCCTTGTACACGCCCACAATTGCAACTCGATCTCCAGGCTTGCACCGATCCACAAGATCATCCTCAACAATGACGTCAACGGACCGTGGCAGCTGCCCAGCTGGCGAACACTCAGGCATCTCCTGGATAGCCAGAGTTTGATGATCCCGGTACTTGGAGAGCCCAAACTCGGTAACCAGCACGTTACCATTATCGTCCTGCAAACAAAATGTGGAATTCATAAGGAAGAGTAAGAACCGGAGGAAGAGTAACAATCGGACGTGCAAAAAATAAAAATGAAAATGAAACAAATAGCGAATACTAATAAAACACCAGAGCTGGGATGGGGGATAGGATAGGAGGAGATCCGAGAAGTTTTCCAATCAACTGCTGCTGACATCAACGTTGCAGCACATGGTTGGTTTGACAGATTTGGACGTCATCAGCAGAACATCCCAGAAGATCGATGTCCAGTAGTCAGCAACAAGTGCTCAAAGAAGATGGTACCGAGGCGCAGAAGGAGGATGGGAAGAGAGGAGATGGAGGACTAGGTATCAGAGCATATAGCTCCCACTGACACTGGCTTTCAAAGGCCCCTTCCCAAGAAAGATGCCTCCTGACTTCCCACCAAACCCTCTCTCTCTCTCTCTCTCTCTCTCTCTCTCTCTCTCTCTCTCTCTCTCTCTCTCTCTCTCTCTCTCTCTCTCTCTCTCTNGTGTGTGTGTGTGTGTGCGTGTGTGTGTGTGTGTGTGTGTGTGTGTGTGTGTGTGTGTGTGTTATTAACTGTCACCACAACAACCCCTTCTCCACCTAGATGAGCAGATTCAAAATTGAAACAGCTTGACCTCTTTAACAAACAACATGAAGCACACTAACATGAGCAGATACCCCTCAGGAAAGTGGGTGATTTACTCACACCAGCCCTGCAATCCCTGCAGACTGTCCTTGCAACCCCTGACAAGAAAGGCAGCAAGTCCGAGAAACTCGTTTGTCACAACATAAAACCCACTGTACACACCCACTCAGCCAGGAATATCCAATGGCATGACCGCTTGCACATGTGTGTGTTTGTCAAGTATTCATTATAATGTCACTCTTGTCGAGAGTTAAAAGAATACACATTAAATATTTTACATACAACTGCCAGGTTTGTTTTCTGCAGACTAATACACGGGTTCATTTCCTTGCTCGAGTACAAGGTTCCACACATTTGACTTTGGGGAGGATGTGCCCGCACACCATCCGCGATGATACGTGCACTGACACTTGTATTCAATCATGTGTTTTGTTACTGATCCATGATGACTAGAGAATTGGACGGAGGGGCAGGGGAACAGAAGGGGACAAACAGAAGAGAGCCACGATCACGGAGAGAGGCGGAGGGAGGGAGTGAGGGAGGGAGGGAAGGAGTGAGGGAGGGAGGGAGGGAGGGAGCGAGGGAGGGAGGGAGCCAGAGGTGATGTGATAACGAAGAAAGGCCATCACACCCTCAAAACATACTGGGACAATGTGTTTGCATGTGTTTCGTGTTCCTCAAAATTGAAAGAGCTGCCACACATACGCCACAGTGACATCTCAATTGCTCCCATTCGAGAGTTGCGGGTAAGGCCAGCCCCGAAAGGCCTGCTGAGAATAAAAGTGAGAGATAAATGTAAGAACCTTTGTTGGATAAACCGCCCCCGTGGGAAGCCCCGAGAATGATGTTACATCGCGATACTCCTGCTCAATAAACTTTCCTGTTGCAGGGCAGTGATGTACGCTCTTTGCCACCTTAGGCCTGACCAAGGAGCCTGAGAGACAGACAAACACGAAGTTAATGTGGGACAATGATCAGCATCATCCACCCCACTCATCCATCCATCCATCCATCCATCCATCCATCCATTCATTAATCCATTCATTAATCTATTCACTGAGGGTTAACTAACTTCCACAGTATTTGATTGTTCCGTTGATAGCATTCTAGAACAATCACCACCTGGACTAGGGGAGTTGGTACACCCCCTGTTACATGCCCAGTTGGGCGATGTATATATATAGCCAAGGATCCGCAATGTGATGAAAAGGACTGAATGGACAATGCAGTGCTAGTGGAATCTCAACAAGCAATGTACATCCTGATACATACAAAATGGCGCCTTGTAGCGCAGCGGAAGACTTAGATATAAGCCCTGACCTGACCGGGACTGACCTCTCTCACGTAGTACAAGACAGCGCAGCGAAATGCTAGAATACCAATGACTAACCCAATCAATGTCGCAATGCAGACCAAACATACATCATCCTGGCGCTACACAAAGGAAGAATGCGCCAGGTCCAGGACCATACAAGAGGGGGAAGATGGGAATGTCGTCAACACCAAGTCTTCGGTACGAGTCCCAGATAATCCCTCGTCAAATGTCTGAAGCCCAGTGTCGAGTCTGGATCCAAATGTCACCAAGCCTGCTCTCTCGTAGTCTGCTGATGCAGTGAAGTCAGGTAGCGAGAGGGTGGGAGGGAGATGGTGGACTGAGAAGAGGAAGAAGAAGAACTCTCTCTCTCTCATGTGCCAGGTACTAACCTGTGAAGATGGCGCTGTGCTGCAGGGACCTCGACGACGAGCTGGAGCTATGGCACAGCAGGTAAGTCTCCCTGGCCTCCGCCCAATCTCTATCTCTCTCCAGTGCTACCCTAGCTCCTAATAGCGCCCAGCGCTGAAGACTACTGCTAGCGCTACTACTACTACTGCAGCGCTCCTCCAAAGTGCTGCTGCCGAATCCTGAAGACTACCTCCTGCATCCTGAACTGCACGTGAAGTGCCTGGGAAGTCCCTATGAACTACCTGCAGCCTGCAGGGCAGGCCAGTCTTATATAGTGCTGGCCCGTCCAGGAGGCTGCTCTTGCCAATGCCAAACGTGCCAGACCCTGGCTTGAAGCTCAAACAAAGGTTGTCTTGAAAACAGGCCCAAAATGGCCTGTGCTAAGACCCTGGTCTGGTGCCTGAGTTTCAGGGCAGGTCGATCTTATAAGGGCCTGAAAATGGCCCTCCGTTTCAGGCTGAAAAGACTCAGGGCCTGGAGGGCCCTGTTTTAGGCTGAAACGACACAGGGCCTGTAGGCCCTTGTTTTCAGTCTTTCAGGCTGAAACGACACAGGGCCTGTAGGCCCTTGTTTTCAGGCTTTCAGGCTAAAACGACACAGGGCCTGTAGGCCCTTGTTTTCAGGCTTTCAGGCTGAAACGACCCAGGGCCTGAAAATGGCCCTCGTTTGCAGGCGCAGCATGTAACATCCCCCCTGGACTGAACTGTTGGAATACAGACCAGGTGCTGAGTTCGAACTCCACTGGAAGCAGATGAGTGAAATGGTACAATTATTCTGAATTACCTAGGGCCAAAAAAGAGGAGCAAAAACATTCTAGAACAATAGCATGAACAGTCTGAGGAGGAGCCAGGACATAAGCAAAAAGGTGCCACATCAACCCCAGAGGAAGAATAGAGAGAGAGAGAGTGTCGACCAGCCGAGCCTGTCAAATTCCACTGCGTGCATTTCCAGACACTGGTCCTCACATCTAGTCAAATTGATTCATAGTAATCTGCTGCAGATAATCATCATCACATCCGTTGTGCATGTTTTCTGCATGCTAGACATCGATTCATTCTCTTTCAGCTCAAAAAACCTGGCGTTGTTTGTTTATTTTTCTGGATTGTTGTGGGCACATTATGCTGGTGCCCACCAAGATCAACCCACATCTGGGCTCTTTTTCTTTCAGTATTGTGGGTTTCTTTTTTTTATTTTATTTTTTTAGAGGGGGGGGGGAAGGGCTATATACATGGGGTGTGCTTTACGTAGATTTTTTTATTTTGTTTTTATGCTCAGCAGCTCAAGTTAATAAGGATTTCTGAAGCAACGCCCAACCAAAAGTTGTTTACATTGCAATTCTATGCAACATTTTGTTTTCCAGGAATTTTTCCTTTTTTTGAAATGTTTTCCTTCATGTGCTGGGGCCTCACCAAAGTGGCTACCAATTTTCTGAATACAACGCCCGGGTGCTATTTTCATGTGAAGACGATAGTAATCTGCCAGCAATTTTGCATGTACACAGGGGTAGACTGCAGGCGACCATGAGGGCGCACAGGCACACGCCTTCAACCCAGAGAGAGAGTTTGTGAGGACAAATGTGGAGTCCGTTTAGGACTGATTAGCCTGCCACGACATCCGACAAACCCCCCGGAATATACAGGAGCTACATTACCTTTAGTGAAAGCCTAACCATTCAGGAAAATGAGAGGTACACATATAGTTAAAAACAGCCAGTTTGGGTACAAGTCCCAGTGTAGCGGGCATTGAAAGCTTTGTGCTGCCTTCACAGAGGAGGCACTGGTGTCCAGAGACTTGTAATGCAAGTCTGACGAACCACACTCGGCATTTTCCCCAGAGTCAACTGCATCCTGAGTACCATCCTTGCACAGAGGCCATGCTAATCTTCTCTTTATCGTTCCAATTTTAATGGACGTCCCCAAAGGACCACATCCTGAGCATCGTTCCAGACCTTGGAACACAAAAGTACAGGCTGAAGATTATTGGACTCGAGATTTTTACATTCGGTGCCAAATGAGGAACGATGCCGAGAAAGTGGGTACAAATTTCCACTCGTACCGATCACATGGGCCAGCATGTCACCCAGTCAGATTGGCGTTGTTGTCATACATGACGGAAGCCAGAGGGCAACATGAAATCCGACATATACCAGAAGCACACCTGTGACATCGACTGTGCGGTGCAGGGTGCAACGGCAGGGTGGGTGATGCAATACACCCAAACACTGCTGCAGCGCACTCCAAACAAACAAAAACCAAAAAAAAAAAAATCTGCCTTTTTCTCCCATTATTCTTGTACAAACATGCTTGCCCGGAATAAGCAACCGGACTGTAGCCCCCCAGAATAGAAGGGGCCTGTGTTTGTGTGTTGGGTAAAAAATATATATATTTAAAAAAAAAAAAAAAATCAAAAAGTAATAGTGGTTTTGGCATGTAAACCCAACCAAAAAACCTTGCTTTAGAAAAGAATCTTCACTGCAAACACTTTTTTTTAGAATTTTTTGGATTTTCTTTTTGATTTTCCAGTGTGCACACACGTGCTTCATGGCAATGGAGTGCAAGCTGTGCTTTGCACTGCACACGTTGCATGCAGCTAATGTGGTCCAAAACCTGAACACAAAAGGAAGAAAGGCAGAACATGAAGCATCAAAAAACTTACACTTGGTGATGATGCCTTCAACACACACCAATGTGGAAAGGAAGGGAGAGAGCAGCTCCCTTGGAGAAACCCTGTGGAAGCCAAACTGTCCCTCAAATCCAACATGCAGATCCAAGCCATAGGCAGCTTTCGCGTTGATCGACCTCGCAGTCTCCTCAAGTGCCGCATCAAAAGCCGGGAGGTACTCTCCAGGAGAGCGCACGAACCTGCCAACAGAGGACACAGCATATGGTAACACCAAGATGTCATCTGACGATCAAACAATACAACACACTTCAACACTCGAGCATGCACGCATGTATAAGATAACGTGTTTGCCTTTCTGACATGGTCTCTTCAACAAGTTCCAAGTTGGTTTTCGTAACTCTTTCAAGATAGATCAATCCAACACCCAAGACATAAACAAGCAGTCGCCTGTTGCGTGTATTGCCATATTCGCTGGTGCGCGCGCACGTGTGTGTGTGTGTGTGTGTGTGTGTGTGTGTGTGTGTGTGTGTGTGTGTGTGTGTGTGTGTGTGTGTGTGTGTTTTAGATTTTCCCCACAACAGC